CTTTTGCACGAGGCACAAGTACCCCACACCTTATATGCTCCCTTTTTTTGGGTTTTCCTCCCCCCCTTTCATCTGCACGCTTGACAGAGTAAGAACAGAGAAAGACGTCTCATCCCCAAATCGGATAGATCTGTCATTTCAGCAGACCCTTCAACACAGGAGGGAGTGGGTGGCCTTACTGTTATGTACAAGGCCAATATTGTCAAAGTACCACAGTTGGATCCACTTCGAGGACAGCGTGAAACAAGCTTTTATGCCACAAGACGGGCAGCCAGCAGCAACTTCACTCTGGCTGTACCCTTCTCCAGAACATCACTCCATCTGAGATCATTTATCCCCAGGATGACTCGAGTCTGGAACACATTCGTACAGCATTATGATGTCAACCAGATAAAGTCAGCTGATCAGATGAAAATGCTGGCCCACAGATGGCCCTCAGCTGTCCCACAGATGGTTCCAACTTCATCCTGTTGACTTAAGAAATCGTAATTGACGGCAGTGAAGGGACTTGAGCTAGAGTTCGTCACGGCCACGCTAGCTGGAGATTCGTCTGTAAAAACTTGCATTTGTGGTCACAGAGGTGCCTGTGCTAACTTTCCTATGGTGTAGAAATATACCTAGTTGGATGAATCTTATTGTGGCTAGCTGGTCTAGTGGCTAACGCGACGGGCTGGAGTTTTGAGACTCTATGACCGCGGGTTCAATCCCGGCCGGGGGTATGGTTTCATCCTGTTCCCTACTTGTATGTCTCATAACAATAAAAATGCTTTCAAATGAGCTGATGTAGGTAACAGCTCTTAGCTTGTCAATAAAGCTAGGGATCCTTAACCTAACCTTGTCAAACACTGTAAAAAAAAAAAACAGCCAGCTTACTTTGAGTGTCTTGGACCTCCTGCCTCACGAACATGCTAGGTTTATCACGATAAAGCAGGCAGGATACATTATATAAGAGAAGAATATTCTCTCTTGCCGTGCTGGAAGAGAGAGTAAAACAACAGCATGGAGAAACAGGCAGAGATACAGCAATTGCTCATGCAACACAGAGACAACGAAGGCGGAAGAATGCCAGTCCGGAAATTGTCTGAATGGATGGCGAACGATGTTTTGTGAATCTAATAATTTTCCGAACAGAGGAGAGTGGCCAGTGGTGTGCCACAAGGATCAGTGCTGTGCCACAAGGTCAGTGCGGGTGCCACAAGGATCAGTGCTGTGCCACAAGGATCAGTGCTGTGCCACAAGGATCAGTGCTGTGCCACAAGGATCAAAGCTAGAATAGTGCTGTGCCACAAGGATCAGTGCTGTGCCACAAGGATCAGTGCTGTGCCACAAGATCAGTGCTGTGCCACAAGGATCATTGCTGTCCCACAAGGATCAGTGCTGTGCACAAGGATCAGTGCTGTGCCACAAGGATCAAAGCTAGAACTAGTGCGTGCCACAAGGATCATGCTGTGCCACAAGGAGCAGTGCTTTTGCCACAAGGATCAGTGCTGTGCCACAAGGATCAGTGCTGTGCCCAAGGATCAGTGCTGTGCCACAAGGATCAGGCTGTGCCACAAGGATCACTGCTGTGCCAAAAGGGATCACTGCGTGCCACAAGGAAAACAAAGCTAAAACTAGTGCTGTGCCACAAGGATCACTGCTGTGCCACAAGGATCAGTGCTGTGCCACAAGGATCACTGCTGTGCCACAAGGATCACGCTGTGCCAAAAGGGATCAGTGCTGTGCCACAAGGATCACTGCTGTGCCACAAGGATCAGTGCTGTGCCACAAGGATCAGTGCTGTGCCACAAGGATCAGTGCTGTCCCACAAGGATCATTTGCTGTGCCACAAGGATCAAAGCTAGAATTTGTGCTGTGCCACAAGGTTTCAGTGCTGTCCCACAAGGATCACTGCGTGCCACAAGGATCAGTGCTGTGCCAAAAGGGAAACAAAGCTAAACTAGTGCTGTGCCACAAGGATCAGTGCTGTGCCACAAGGATCAGTGCTGTGTAACAAGGATCAGTGCTGTGCCACAAGGATCAGTGCTGTGCCACAAGGATCAGTGCTGTGCCACAAGGATCAGTGCTGTGCCACAAGGATCAAAGCTAGAACTAGTCCTGTGCCACAAGGATCAGTGCTGTGCCACAAGGAGCAGTGCTGTGCCAAAAGGATCAGTGCTGTGCCACAAGGATCAGTGCTGTGCCACAAGGATCAGTGCTTTTCCCACAAGGATCAGTGCTGTGCCACAAGGATCAGTGCTGGGCCACAAGGATCACTGCTGTGCCACAAGGAACAAAGCTAAAAACTAGTGCTGTGCCAAAAGGGATCACTGCGTGCCACAAGGATCAGTGCTGTGCCACAAGGATCACTGCTGTGCCACAAGGATCACTGCTGTGCCACAAGGATCAGTGCTGTGCCACAAGGATCACTGCTGTGCCACAAGGATCAGTGCTGTGCCACAAGGATCAAAGCTAGAACTAGTGCTGTGCCACAAGGATCAGTGCTGTGCCACAAGGATCAGTGCTGTGCCACAAGGATCAAAGCTAGAACTAGTGCTGTGCCACAGGATTCAGTGCTGTGCCACAAGGATCAGTGCTGTGCCACAAGGATCAAAGCTAGAAAGTGCTGTGCCACAAGGATCAGTGCTGTGCCACAAGGATCAGTGCTGTGCCACAAGGATCATGCGTGCCACAAGGACAGTGCTGGGGCCACAAGGTCACTGCTGTGCCACAAGGATAAAAGCTAGAACTAGGCGTGCCACAAGGATCAGTGCTGTGCCACAAGGATCAGTGCTGTGCCACAAGGATCACTGCTGTGCCACAAGGATCACTGCTGTGCCACAAGGATCAGTGCTGTGCCACAAGGATCACTGCTGTGCCACAAGGATCAGTGCTGTGCCACAAGGATCAGTGCTGTGCCACAAAGATCAGTGCTGTGCCACAAGGATCAGTGCTGTGCCACAAGGATCAAAGCTAGAACTAGTGCTGTGCCACAAGGATCAGTGCTGTCCCACAAGGATCAGTGCTGTGCCACAAGGATCACTGCTGTGCCACAAGGAACAAAGCTAAAACTAGTGCTGTGCCACAAGGATCACTGCTGTGCCACAAGGATCAGTGCTGTGCCACAAGGATCACTGCTGTGCCACAAGGATCACTGCTGTGCCACAAGGATCATGGCTGTCCCCACAAGGATCACTGCTGTGCCACAAGGATCAGTGCTGTGCCACAAGGACAGTGCTGTGCCACAAGGATCAGTGCTGTGCCACAAGGATCAGTGCTGTGCCACAAGGATCAAAGCTAGAACTAGTGCTGTGCCACAAGGATCAGTGCTGTGCCACAAGGATCAGTGCTGTGCCACAAGGATCAGTGCTGTGCCACAAGGATCAAGCTAGAACTAGTGCGTCCCACAAGGATCAGTGCGTGCCACAAGGATCAGTGCTGTGCCACAAGGATCAAAGCTAGAATTTAGTGCTTGCCAAAAGGGAAATCAGTGCTGTGCCACAAGGATCAGTGCTGTGCCACAAGGATCAGTGCTGTGCCACAAGGATCAGTGCTGTGCCACAAGGATCAAAGCTAGAACTAGTGCTGTGCCACAAGGATCAGTGCTGTGCCCCAAGGAGCAGTGCTGTGCCAAAAGGATCAGTTCTGTGCCACAAGGATCGTGCTGTGCCACAAGGACAGTGCTGTGCCAAACAAGGATCAGTGCTGTGCCACAAGGATCAGTGCTGTGCCACAAGGATCACTGCTGTGCCACAAGGAACAAAGCTAAAACTAGTGCTGTGCCACAAGGATCACTGCTGTGCCACAAGGATCACTGCTGTGCCACAAGGATCAGTGCTGTGCCACAAGGATCACTGCTGTGCCACAAGGATCAGTGCTGTGCCACAAGGATCAAAGCTAAAACTAGTGCTGTGCCACAAGGATCAGTGCTGTGCCAAAAGGGAAATCAGTGCTGTGCCACAAGGATCAGTGTGTGCCACAAGGATCAAAGCTAGAACTAGTGCTGTGCCACAAGGATCAGTGCTGTGCCACAAGGATCAGTGCTGTGCCACAAGGATAAGTGCGGGGCCAAAAAGGATCAGTGCTGTGCCACAAGGATCAGTGCTGTGGCCACAAGGATCAGTGCTGTCCCACAAGGATCAGTGCTGTGCCACAAGGATCACTGCTGTGCCACAAGGATCAAAGCTAGAACTAGTGCTGTGCCACAAGGATCAGTGCTGTGCCACAAGGATCAGTGCTGTGCCACAAGGTCACTGCTGTGCCACAGGATCACTGCTTTTGCCAAAGGATCAGTGCTGTGCCACAAGGATCACTGCTGTGCCACAAGGATCAGTGCTGTGCCACAAGGATCAGTGCTGTGCCACAAGGATCAGTGCTGTGCCACAAGGATCAAAGCTAGAACTAGTGCTGTGCCACAAGGATCAGTGCTGTGCCACAAGGATCCAGTGCTGTGCCACAAGGATCAGTGTTGTGCCACAAGGATCAGTGCTGTGCCACAAAGAGCAGTGCTGTGCCACAAGGATCAGTGCTGTGCCACAAGGATCAAAGCTAGAACTAGTGCTGTGCCACAAGGATCAGTGCTGTGCCACAAGGATCAGTGCTGTGCCACAAGGATCAGTGCTGTGCCACAAGGATCACTGCTGTGCCACAAGGATCAAAGCTAGAACTAGTGCTGTGCCACAAGGATCACTGCTGTGCCACGAGGATCAGTGCTGTGCCACAAGGACACTCTGTCCCACAAGGATCATGCTGTGCCACAAGGATCCTGCTGTGCCACAAGGACAGTGCGTGCCAAAAGGGTCAAAGCTAGAACCAGTGTTGTGTAACAAGGATCAGTGCTAGAACCAGTGTTGTGTAACAAGGATCAGTGCTAGAACCAGTGGCTTGTAACAAGGATCAGTGTTAGAACCGTGTTGTGTAACAAGGATCAGTGCTAGAACCAGTGTTATGTAACAAGGATCAGTGCTAGAACCAGTGCTGTGTAACAAGGATCAGTGTTAGAACCAGTGTTGTGTAACAAGGATCAGTGCTAGAACCAGTGTTAGTAACAAGGATCAGTGCTAGAACCAGTTTTTGTGCAACAGGATCAGTGTTAGAACCAGTGCTACGCCCCCAAAGATCAGTGCTAGAACCAGTGTTATGTAACAAGGATCAGTGCTAGAACCAGTGTTGTGTAACAAGGATCAGTGCTAGAACCAGTGTTGTGTAACAAGGTCAGTGCTAGAACCAGTGCTGTGTAACAAGGATCAGTGTTAGAACCAGTGCACGCCACAAAGATCAGTGCTAGAACCAGTGTTATGTAACAAGGATCAGTGCTAGAACCAGTGTTGGAAACCCAAGGAATAAGTGCTAAAACCCAGGGGTGTTTTAACAAGGATCAGTGCTAGAACCAGTGCTGTGTAACAAGGATCAGTGTTAGAACCAGTGCTTGTGTAACAAGGACAGTGCTAGAACCAGTGTTGTGTAAAAAGGGATCAGTGCTACAACCAGTGCTGTGTAACAAGGATCAGTGTTAGAACCAGTGCTGTGTAACAAGGATCAGTGTTAGAACCAGTGTTGTGTAACAAGGATCAGTGTTAGAACCAGTGTTGTGTAACAAGGATCAGTGCTAGAACCAGTGTTGTGTAACAAGGATCAGTGCTAGAACCAGTGCTGTGTAACAAGGATCAGTTTGAACCACGTTGTGTAACAAGGATCAGTGTTAGAAACCAGTGTTGTGTACAAGGATCAGTGCTAGAACCAGTGCTGTGTAACAAGGATCAGTGCTAGAACCAGTGTTGTGTAACAAGGATCAGTGTTAGAAACCCAGTGTTGTGTAACAAGGATCAGTGCTAGAACCAGTGTTGTGTAAAAAGGGAAATCAGTTCTAGAACCAGTGTTGTGTAACAAGGATCAGTGCTAGAACCAGTTTTGTGTAACAAGGATCAG